GGCAGACGAGTTGAAAACAGGGCTACCTATTTTGTTTGTTGGTGTTTTGGAAGGACGAGGGTGACTGATCTCAGATCCATCAGTGCGCCTTTTGACTACTGATTTGTACGTTTTTTTGGTTAGATTTCTGTTAATATTGGAATCTTTATCTACAATGTCATTGGAAGAGCTGTTTAAAGGGGGAAAACTATCTTCTTCTTCCTCAAAGATGCTAAATCTGTTGAAATTTTTGGGGAAATAAGTCTCCAAAACTTCCTTACGGGACATTTTTTTGACCGTCTTGATGCGGTTTATCTCCATCTCCTTTTCCCAAAAGGCACATTTGAACTTGTCTTTTGCCACATGGCCATTTTTGTTACACAAAATACAAAAAGTAGAATCACATGCATTATCACACTCAGGTTTTCCACATTTAAGGCACCTGCCCTTGGACTTACAGGAAAGCACCGTATGACCAAGTCGCCCGCACTTATTACATTGCCTAAGAGGCGGTATAAAGAAATCGACATTAAGTTTCACATATTCAAATATCACTTGCTTGGGTATTTCATTCCCTGTAAAGCCTACTTTCAGAGTTGTTGTTGGGATGTAATCATTATTTGTGGGATCTTTACGCGTAAAACGCCTAACAGATCTTATTGGAATGCTTGATTTGGCTTCTTTTAAAAAGTCTTCCTCTTTAAAGAAAGTTGGTACACCCCTAATGACACCATATATTTCAAGGGCAGTCATGGGTACAAAAGGTCTAAGGCCTCTTTTAGAAAGCCTGTCGTCTAAAACAAAATTGTTGGCTGAACAGGTATTTTTAAAGATTACTTTATATAAAGTCCTACCCAAGGCAAGAATAAGGTCTAGGTCTTTTATTCTTAAGTCTTTTATTTGGGCATACAGTGTAAGTCCTGTGGTCGTTTTCTCATTTTTTATGTTCGGGCATTCCGATGCATCAACGAGTACAAAAATCTCGCCCTTAAAAATTGGCGGGTAAACGTTAATTATTGGCGCGTTTTTGTTCACACTATTTTCGCTGGTTGCAACTGTTTCAGACGGGGCATTTGAACCACATGCATTATCGTTTCTAACCTCACATTCCATATTAACAGGCTCACCAGCACTGCACAATTTTTGATCTTTTTTCCTAATTTCTATGAGCCCACCGCCAGTGGCCAGCTCATAGAAAGAAGAAACTTTCTCATTGGAAACGATTTTAGCTTTTTTATTTGCCCTATCCTCTTCAGATTCACTCTTCCTGGCTGTTGCCGACCCATTGGCCGGCAACCCCATTCTTGATTTTAATTTTGCGCTTGCCAATAAAGGCAGCTTTTTTCTTTTTTTAACCGGCACCTCGACAAGAAAATCTTTTCTCTTCACTCACAAAACAGAAAAGAACAAATGTAGCCGTGATCTACTCACCTGATCTGGAAACTGCTGAACCCAAAATTATTAGTTTGGTTTTTATCTAGCGCACGACGAGAAATATAATTTAAAAAGAAAATTTATTTGAACACAATATTAAGCACACGAAACACGCGGCCCACACAAAAAGCCTGTATTTAAAAGGTTTTGCAAAAACTAGTTTTTTCTAAAAACGTGGGTGACTGTACGGTAACACGAAAAAAGACACTAAACGCGACGATCCTATCGCTCTCGTTGCCAAAATCCGAATGATGTACTGGATTTAAACTCATTTTTATTAGCTGCACAAATATTTTAAAACATTTCACAGTATGCCAAACTTGTGAAGAAAACAATAGACGCGATTGTGAAATTATAATGAAAAATGACAACTCATGGCGTTGCCATCAACCAAAATTTTTTTAGCAGTTTTAGCATCAGGGTTGCATTTTTAGGCAAAGTTGTGTATTATAAAACTTGAAAATGCTTTATAGTGGATTTTGATTTTGAACCGAACCGAACAATTTTTTTAGAGTGGTTTTCGGTTCGGTTTTTTTATTTCAAAATAAAAACGGTTCGGTTCGTGGTTCGTGGAAAAAGGCGCCGGTTCGGTTCAAAAACCGGTTCGGTTCAAAACCGGTTTGCAGCCCTGATAGAAACTCTGCTCATCTACGGAAAAATGCCTTTCCAACGGTGTTCTTGGTTTTGAAATCGGTTCGGTAGAATCGCCAAACGAACGGAGACAAAATTTATGTTAGCGTATTAATATATAGATATGGTATATGTACATTAGACTGCATCACCAAAAAAGTTGCGGTTTTTCCGCCGGGATTACTAAATTTATTATATTTTAAGACGTCCACCAAAATATTTCGTAAAAATATTAAGATTTATGTGAGCTGGACCGATTTGAAAATACCTCCAAAAATGAAGTTTTTTATGAATAAAAATAGTGTCTTAAGGAACTTTTTTTAAGAAGTCCCCTCAGATAACAAATTAGAATAAGCTTAAAAAATCTGCATAAAAATATTTAAAAATCTTTTCAACGGAATGGTAAGAATGAGATTTTTGATGTTGTTTTTTTTACTTTTTTCAAAGATTGATTTACGAAAAACTTGAATAACTGGGCCAAAAATGTTCTGATTTAGACTTATGGGATCTCAGTAGAAAGGTATTTTCACACCGTTTTTATTCTGGCCAAAAAGAACGTCATTCGTGTCCCATCTTTTTTTTCGAATACCAAAGATCTTAATTCAACTTTGAATGAGGTTCGTTTCTCCTACCTTTCTCTTCCATCCTATGAATAAGTTTATTAGCAAATAAATGAAAAGGGTGAGAAAATACTTTTCCAATGACACCTCTTAGGTCTAAATCGGAAGAGTTTAGGTTCAGTTATTCAAGTTTTTCTTATACCAATCTTTGACAAATGTTAAAAACAGCATCATCATTACGATTCCGTTAAAATTTTGTAAAATTTTTTTTTTTTTTTATATTTTTATGCAAATATTTTAATCTTAAGCCGTTTTGTCATTTGAGGGATTTTTTCAAAAAAAATCTTTAAGAATCTTTTTTTATTCATAAAAAAAACCATTTTTGGAGGTATTTTTAAATCGGTCCAGCTCACTTAAATCTTAATATTTTTCCGAAATATTTTGGTGGACGTCTTAAAATATAGTAGATTTTATAATTCCAATGGAAAAATAGTAGCGATTTTTTTTTGTATGGCGAGTGATGCAGTCTAATGTATATATGTATAATATATTTTTTATTTTCTTATCATTTCAGAATCTTTGGAAAGATACTGTTACGAAAGCTGCCAAAAAGAAGCCAGATGCTGCTGATGCGCTGGTGGAAATTGCCGCTAAGAGATTTTCAACTTAAAAAAAACCCAAACAACAACAATTACTGACTCATGGGCAGTTAAATTAAACCGAATGACTCCAGAGCAGCGGCTCGTATGCGAAAGGTTCGAGGAAGAAATTATGTTTGAGGGACAGATGGGGACTCTGCACAGGAAATCGGTCCAAATTAATACGAACCAAACACAAATAATTTTCAAAAACAACATTTGACCTCCATCAATCCAAGGGATCTTGGAGATATTGCTGTTACAATTTTTTTTTAAGAAAAAGTCTAATCTTACTGGGCTATTAACGTATCCTTTTGTTCTATTAATGGCTTCACCATGGTTAGAAGTTCATCAAATGTATCAGCATCCATTCGCAAAAAATTACAGTAATCGACCTTAGATGATAAAAGATTTTCATGTGTAAACCTCTTTCGTTATTGGTACCAGCTTTTCATCCACTCTTTCTTCTTCTTTTTCATATTTAATTTCTTCTTTTTCAACAAAATTGCAGCAGATACTAATACTGTAAATCATCGTCCGACGAAGACATAATAACCGAACGCTACGTACACAAAATTTAAAATGGTGATTGACGTTTTCATTTGAACGTTTGCGGGCAAGACACGAGCGAACCTCACTCACACATACGCAATGCTTGACGTATTTATTTGATTGTATCCGTGGCGCTTTAGCTTCAAAACTTAGGGCCGGTTACTCAATGTCTGGTTAACACTAATCTCCGTTTAAACATCATTATCGACGTGTTCGGCTCCATGCATATAACATGGAGTCGGTAACGTCGATAACGATGTTTTACCGGAGATTAGTGNACTAATCTCCGTTTAAACATCATTATCGACGTGTTCGGCTCCATGCATATAACATGGAGTCGGTAACGTCGATAACGATGTTTTACCGAAGATTAGTGTTAACCAGACATTGAGCAACCGGCCCTTAAAATTATTTGCGACAAATCAAAAACATTTTGGGCGCATTCCAAAACGTCAAAATACAAAGCATCAGTATCTTTTATTTCTAAANTAACCAGACATTGAGTAACCGGCCCTTAAAATTATTTGCGACAAATAAAAAACATTTTGGGCGCATTCCAAAACGTCAAAATACAAAGCATCAGTATTTTATTTCTAAACCTCAGTAGACTCTAATGCCAAATGTGCGCAACCATGGTTAGATGCTAGTTTTCAACCGGGTTGCGCAAGTTAGACTTTTTCTGCAAGTGCGGTTTCGAAAGAAAACAGACTGATGCTTTGTATTTCGACGTTTTGGAATGCACCCTTTTATTCTCTCCTTGTAGAGACAAATTCAAGTTTTGCAAATGTTCCATCATATCGGTAAAGAACATTAAGTCAGAAAGCCTATTTTCATTCTCCAATTGCGGGTAATGTTCCGCTCTCCATTTGCTTATGTGTATATAAAAAGAATAAAATAAAAAAAAAAACAATGGAAAAGAATGTCCAGAAAAGAAGAATGTATTTTAAAAAGTAAAAAGTGACAAAATATTCAAAGCAAAGAGAAAGTAAAAAGAGCCGCACTTTGATAAGTAAAGAGCCNACAATTGCGGGTAATGTTCCGCTCTCCATTTGCTTATGTGTATATAAAAAGAATAAAATAAAAAAAAAACAATGGAAAAGAATGTCCAGCAAAGAAGAAAGTATTTTAAAAAGTAAAAAGTGACAAAATAATCAAAGCAAAGAGAAAGTAAAAAGAGCCGCACTTTGATAAGTAAAGAGCCTCATTTGGCTCAAAGAGCCGCCTTGCCCACTGTTGATATATACCTTACTATAAGCACCTACCACAGATATATCTGTATATCAAATTTCAATTTGGTGGTAGGTGTTCTGACCCCGCCCAACAGGGCCGTAGATCTTGCGCAGAATAGTTCTCTCGAAAGCCCCCAAAGCCTTTTCATCTTTGTTCGAAAGTAGCATCTGTTGGCAAGAGTTATTCTTCGCTTGATCTCCAGGCTGACGTTGATGGTGGTGTTTATGCGGGATGCTAGGTAGGCTAGGTTCACTACTTCAAAGTAATATCTGCCAACAGTGACATGTGTCCCGAAACGCGTGGACTCTTTATATGTTGCCAGGAGGTCCTTTGTCTTGCCCTCGTTCACCGCTAGACCAACCTCTTTAGCTTCTTTTTCCAAACTGGAAAATGCTGCGGTTACGTCCCTTTATTTGAGACCTACGATATCGATATCATCTGCATACGCCAGCAGCATCGTTCGTTTGCCATATATGGTGCCGCTGCAATTCAGATTGGCAGCTTGGCAGCCATACATACGGTGGTAAAAAAGTTGTAGCCGAAGCACTTTTTGCCGAAGTTCTAACGTATTATTTTTGTTGTTATTGAACTTTTTTTTTTATAAAAACATAGTTCTTTCTTTAACAAAATCCGTGTAAATCCAAGTTTCCAGATTTATGCCATATTAAAAAAAAATCAACAAACTTTCGTACAAATTTCGAACTTTTTAAAAATTCTAAAAAATCAATCGAAATTTTTAGCCTTTTGAAACTTGTACTTTATTCTACTAGAATTCAATGGGATATAAAACTGCATACTCAAAATTAATTAAAAACCTCGAAATTTTAACGAAAATTTGTTGATTTTTTTTTAAATTGCATAAATTTTTAAGGCAGTGTCACTCGATTGGTACCTTTTTACAGATTTGTTCATTTTTATATTGAGCTGTAAAGAAGGGAGATCTTTTTTTGTAGTCAAAAGATTGGTACATTACAGCGATGTTCTATTGAAAAATTTCAACAAATTAATTTTCGTAATTGGGATAAAGAAAAATACTTTGGGTGTTCACACAATTGGGATACGATTTGCACCAAATTTTGGAAAATACCCAATCGTGTGACACTGCCTTTAAACTTGTACTTATACGGATGTTTTTAAAGAATGAAATATAAAAAAACTAACCAATATTAAATAACAGCAAAATAATATTTTATTGTGACAATTTGGTGCGGCTATAATTTGTTAGACTAATAAACAAAAAAAAATTATTGTACATAAGTTTACTATGATTACTAGGTGGTGCAATTATAGTAGCACGATGCCACTAAGCGCATTTTAAAATTTTCAGGCAATAGCCTCATGCGATTATCGATTATACTTTTTGTTGTTTGTGTGAAATATTTTGTTTTTATCAGTATTTTTCTTTTAATCAAAATTTGTTGAAATAAAAGTGAAACTAAAAAAAAAATTTGCCAGAACCACATTGGGATATTCACCTCCTACTTTTACAAACTTATTTTTATATACCTTACTATAATCGCCTCCTATAATTACGCCTGCATACCAAATTTCAAGTTCTTGGAACTTATGGTTCCGAAGTTATAGCTGATAAAAAGTTCCACGCCTAAGGGATGTACCATGCTCCCTTTTACAAACTCGTGTATATATAGCCTAATATAAGCACCTACCATAAATATGTCTGGAACTTCACGTGATTTATGGTTCCGAAGTTAAGGCAGATAAAAATTTCCACGCCTATGGGATGTGCCACGGCCTGTTTTGCAAAATCATTTATATATACCGTACTATAAGCCCCTACTGCAGGTATGTCTGCACACCTAATTTCATTTTCATGTGACTTATGGTTCCGAAGTTATAGTTGGTAAAATATCCCACGCCTATTGGATGTGCCGCGCCCTCTTTTATAAACTCATTTATATATGCCTTAAGCGCCTACCATAGCGCCTGCATACCAAATTTCAATTTCGTGTGACTTATGGTTTTGAAGTTATAGCTGATAAAAATTTCCAGGCCTATGGGATGTTCCACGCCACCTTTTACACACTCATGTATATATAGCCTACCTACCGTAGATATCTGTGTACCAAATTTCAATTTCATGTGACTTATTGTACGGAAGTTATAGCTTATAAAAATTCCACGCCTATGGGAGATGCCACGCCCCTTGTCGAATCCCAATTCCTATTATAGGCCCAGGTGTCATGGCAATACTCTTCTAAAATTTCATTCGATTCTGTCCATCCGTTTAAGCTGCAACCTGGAACATACATTCATACATACATACTTCTACAAATATATATATAGTAAATTGGAAAAAAAACGCGTTGTAAGAATAAAAATATTTTATTTGCTTACCATTTAAAAATGCTCGTATTTAAATCTATAAATACACTTTGTATAATGGATATATTCAATCCAAATACGCCTGTATTAAAATGAAGCATTTTTCACTGCACGGATGGCGTTTTGCACATCTCGAATGCTTTTTCATATCGTCGTTTAAACTGTAACTGCAAACTGTAAATTTGAAACCCCCTTCACATGTTCTGCCTGTAGCTGAGCATACGCCCCACGTTTTTAATTTTAAATGCCATACATTCTTTATAATGACTATTGTTAAAATTTTAAAATTAAAACTTATCAATACAAAGACCTATTACCTTGTTTATACCGACACATAAAGCGCGTTGACCCAATTCGCAGTTTTTCAAAACGGATACATAAACGGCGTTTCAATATGCTCAGAAATTAAAAAGTGTATTGACTCGAATTTGTTTTCAAATCGGTTTTTTATTTCTCATTTCGGTTAGAAAACACGTACACATATTATTCGCTTCCATTTCGGTCAACCATGTTATCGAACAAATGTCGAATAAAAACAGCAGCTTTTGTTTAGTTTTCAATACGGTTTCATCGAGTGCATTATAAACAAAGGTATAAACGCTTGAAAAAAATATGTGTTCAGTCAAATCGGATTTTGGTTAATGTTGTTCTTGCGGTGATATAAACAAGGTATATGAGTCTAAGTAAAATTATGTACTTCTTTGTCCATTTATAGAAATGTTTAAAAGGTTTTTATTTGATTTTTTTTCAATCTCAGTTACTTCATATCCTATGTATGTATGCACACTAGTGTGGTCCTTAAATGTGAGAAGGAAATTTTTACATCAGATTTCCTAAGGCTCAACCCCTATGTCATTGCTCCTATAGTGGAAGATATCACATATAAATTTTGGTCAAAATTCAGGTTACCCTATGAAGACGTCTTAACCGTCTCCAATCGGGACCAAAATTTGTATGTAATATCTTCGACTTTAGTAGTATCGAGTTGAGTATTAAATGAAAAAAATATTTTAAAATTTTTTTGAGTCTCGATGGAGCATCTGGCCTTGGACCCCATTGCGACGCCTGGACCAACTCCAATCGGGACCAAAATTTATATGTAATATCTTCGACAATGGCAGTATCGATTTTGAGTACGAGTTGGCAAAAAAATTTGTTTTAATTTTTTGAGTCTCTATAGAGGAATCTGAAGTTTGCCCTTGTGCGACACGCCTTAACCGTCTCAAATCGGGACCAAAATTTGTATGTGATATCTGTGACGGTGGTATTACCGATTGAAGGGGTGAGACCGAAAAAATCGCTCAGTTGATTTTTAAAGACCACCCTAATGCACACGCACTTCTAAAACCTCTTATCATACGTATTTTAATGACGGCCTGGTCAATCAAAGTGAATTGAAACCGAAAACCGCAGAAAAAACGGAAAAGGATGGACGGCTAAAAAATTACTGTTGCCATTTTGTGCGTGCATACATAACTACGCGTTATCTGCGAACAAATGTGTAAGTATGTTAATACATCTGTGCATATTTATTCCTGTATGTTCGTAGTAGTTACACATTCCCAGCACGAAATTATACTAATTCAGAAATAGTACCATAACGACATTTTGATTAAATACCTTTTTAATGCAAACAACTGGCAAAATTAACATTGCGAGGTCATAGGTGGCGAATTGCCCCCTCTGCATAACCTTGGACGGTTTCGAAATAGGGATTTAAAAAACATCGATGGTCGTGGCTTCAAACATCGATGTTAGTCGATGTTTTTATGAATCCGATGTTAAGTCAAAACATCAATGTTTTGAAAAACATCGAATACGTTTTTTTTACTAATCTATACATGTAAAATAATAGCCGCTTTCATTGTTCGAAGTTAACTCAAAAACTACTGCATAGATTTCAGTCAAATGTTCAGAGGTTATACCATGCATATATAGTCCTATAATAGGCTACCAGAAAACTCGGTAGGTGGCGCTGGGGTCGAGTTATTTATAAAAATCGTATTTATGAACCGATTTCTTTCAAATTCAAAAGGTATAGTTTCAGCATAATCTATATACATATATAAAATAATAGCCGTTTTCGTTGTTTGGAGTTAACTCAAAAACTACTGCATAAATTTCAGTCAAATTATCAGAGGTTATACCATGCATATATAGGCTACCAGAAAACTCGGTAGGTGGCGCTGGGGTCGAGTTATTTATAAAAATCGTATTTATGAACCGATTTCTTTCAAATGTAAAACGTATAGTTTCAGCATAATCGAAAATACGTTTACCAAAAATGGAGCCGCTAGGTGGCGCGGAAGGCGAGTTATTTATAAAAGTTATATTTTTGAACCGATTTCGTAAGCATGATGAAAAAAGTACTTGCGAAAAACGGACCCGCTAGATGGTGTTGTAGTCGAGTTATTTATAAAAGCCGTATTTATGAACCTATTTTGTTAATGTGTATTACGTTTATTACTTTCATGATGATTTTTTTTCATTCGAAACATATTCAGCCTTATCATGAGTTTCATCTTACCTGAACCGGTTCACTTTTCGCTTTTGGTTTCCATGTACTTACTATGGGGGGAATCAAAATTTTCGCGTGAATTTTTTTTCGGGCGAAAATCAGGATAAGGAAGATTACATACATAAAATGATAGCCATTTCCGTTTTTCGGACTAAACTCAAAACCCAATCAATAGATCCCAGTCAAATTGTCGGAGGTCCTATTATAGGCTACTAGAAAGGACGCTGATGGCGCTGGAGTAGAGTTACTTAGAAAAGTCGTATTTATTAACAGATTTCGTTCAAATTCGCAGCGTGACTACCTGTATGATGAAAAATTCCTTTGCTAAAAATGGACCCGCTGGAGTTTAGGTATTTAGAAAATCCGTATTTTTTATAAAATCTGATTGGTTTTGCAAAAAAGGGACCCAATGGATGACGCTGCACCCGAAATATATAGAAACCCCCACGGGGTTTGTTCTGCCTTGGGCCTATATTTATCTTAGACGAATTTACTTTTCAGATGGCTAATTCAAGGATGCGTTTAAGTATGCATATAAAGACCGTAACACTGTTTAAGCGTGATCTTGCATCTACCTCCGATTGACGAAGTTGCTCGAGGTGGCCGTTATTACAGCAGTAAGACTCAAAGAAACCAATTCATAAATATTAAGACGAATTGTAAAAGTGCCGAATTGACAAGGAAATATTCGACCACATCTGTCCAAGAAGGAACACGATAGGTATATCAATGGCTTCATTTGAACGATATTAATGAGGTCACACGACTCATTTAGCCAATGTACGCTAAAACTTTTCATTCTGTGGGGCAGCGAGGATTCTTAAGAACGCATTACATCGAAAGGGATTAGTGTTCCATATGGAATCACAGCGTTACCATTCTTGGCATATGTGTGAGGAGGATTCCGTTGTTAGTCGTTTCAATTTAAACTGAGAATATTTACTTTACATACTGCTTTTGCTTTTAAACGCAAAGATCTTATTAGACGCCGCGAAGCAAGCGGGCATTTGCTTGTACTTAACTATTTCATT